ATCTCCTCGTCCGGCACGTGTGTGTACGCGTCATGAAGAGTGACCTCGCCTATGGTAAGCACATTCAATCAGCCTCAGATAGCCCCCACGGGATCTCATCATCATTACCATAGCGGGCGTCGAGCAGCCACCACATAGCTAAGCCCCCGTCCGCCTGCCCTGAAAGGAGACGATTCCCTCTGGAATCTTCTTGCCTTCCAACGGCCAGAGCTCAAGCACAAGTGGCTGCTTGGTTCTGAATTCGCTGTTGGGTTCCGAGAAGAGATGTGAGTCTTTAAGGTAGCTTATGCTCTGCGTGAATGGGTAGACCGGCTTCTCGCTCTCCACGTATGGCAACTGTCGCACTTCTTTTCGAGGAGTCTGTCAGTTTCGGTCAGGGAGAGAGCGAGATCGAGATGTAATCACATAGGTCAACTACTCTATGATTGAACCCGAAGATCAGAAACTTCTCAAGGGGAAGTTCGTCATCGCTCCATCCGTTCTCAAGGGGGCTCTTTATGCACTCGGGTCTGAACGAGACCATTCGCGAAAGCAGTTCGAAACACTGCTTGATACTTTCAACGATGGCATCACGGTCGTAAAGGGGGCCTGATGGAACCGAAATGGGTGTGTTTGTCGACATTGGGGCCATTTATGATCCCGGATGTTGTTAAAGTGGAACCATGAATGTAGTTGTGAGTTGGGGAGACTTGCTTCAATACCCGACTTTATTTATGTAGGTACTCAGCCACCACCAACTACATCGGGGTGAGGTTGGGTAGGTACCTAGTAGGAATGGTGCTGCCTCGCATCATCAGCAGTTGACAATGATAATCGTCATTGATCATAGAAATCTTAAAGAGGGGCACATAGTTATTTACGGATGAGGCGGCACATCCCGAAGTCCATGAGGAATGTTAGTCTACCCGAGGGACCCCGTCCGTAGAATCTCAAAAACGGTACCTCGAAATCGTTCAAAGTTTGTGCGTAGGTAGTCATATTGCTTTCAACATGTGGATGAAGATGTTATTTGTACAGTCTAAAACAAAAACTGTGAAAGGGAAGGGTGATGATCAGTCCCCATGACGAGTGAATTACCTCTAGAAAATAGCGCGTCGTGCCGCGAAGATTCTCCCACAGACCGAAACGCCGCCGACCCATTGTCGAACTTCGAAGAGCGTACAGGTAGTAGTCACAGTAACCAACGTTTGCTCCCTCCACGAATCTTCCAACTTCTTCTCTCAATTGATTCCCAACATGGAAGACTTCCTCCGATCTGCCCTGGCTTCCAATTGCTTCCTTACAACGTCCAGCTCCATCGTCGCCCAAACCACCGAGATCTTGCCCTTGTCGAATCGGTACATGCAGTGCTCGTTAAACTTGATGCTCTTTCCATTGGGAGGGATACCCGCAAACATCGACGTCGGCGTTCCTGTCAGCTGCAATCGAGCGGCGACCTGCTGAGTTTCCTCGTCCACCAACAACTCTTGGATCTCGAAATGAAGCCCTGCAACGACCTCGTGGCTCATATCAAGGTTGCGTGCATAGTCCTGGACAGTGAATGGTCTGTTGTTGTGTCGCAGGTCTTTCCTGCAGAATTTAGGAAACTCGGTCTTCATCGTGCGCTGGTTCATACTGGTGACGTATGCGCGGTACAGCGAGCGTAGGTCAACCGGTTTATCCGGCATGCTCCGCGTGAGAAACTTCGGCGTCATCTCTGCCGTGGGATTTTGAGCACGAATGCCGTCGTTGTCCTGGATCGTCACAACCCTCGAAATTTTGCCCTTCTCGTTGAACCACACGAAGCACTGCTCGTCAAACTCAATCGTCTTCTCCACGGGGTCGGCATTCACCCTCTCATCCACCAGCGTCATCCGGTTGACGTATCTCGCGGCCACAGCGCGAGCCTTCTTATCGACGAGCATGGTATCGATCTTGATGCTGAATCCGGCGAGGCCCTTCGTGCGACCCTGGAGGCGGGTGATGTGCTCTTCACGCGTCTGGGAGTGGCCATTCCGGGTGAGCTCGTCGGCGAGGTGGTTTCCGATGACGTTCCATTTGCTGTTGTTCAAGCAGTCGACATATTCGCGCAAACGAGTGCCGATGTCCACCTGAATTCCCTTTCCATCACCATTCCAGCGGCGCGCTGGGCTTCTCTGCCGATGAGGGCTTTTGATCCCTGAAGGTTGCTTCTCTACAGCCGGCGGGGCCAGGAAGCTCTCGTGAGAGAAGCACGGGGCATCTGAATCTTCCAATGTTACTGTCGTCATCTTCATTATCTTTCTTCGAAATGTCTTTCTGTTTTCGGTCTTGTTTGATGACGAGAGTCGTGATGAAGGGCGGACGACTCTGGCGTTATTATCGTCAACAGCGATGTCATGAGAGGGGGTGAACTGATCTTAGCGAAGCGAGCAGTAGGCGCCGAAAGCTGCATCAGCAAGGGTCGATCATTAATTTCAACGAAGCAGATCCCCCGGATTACCTCAAAATGACCACACCAACAGTAGTCAATCACTCAGAATAGGGAAATAAATTGTCACTACACGACAAACAGATCATAATCGACAGTGGAAGGAGCCACACGCAGCCCAGCCGCAAGAACACGATCGAAAATTGGACCCTTGCACCACCACGTCTTTTCACAGTTTAGCGTAATGACGTAGAATTCCCCGCATTTCCTGACATCACGTCGTTCTCCCGTGGCGTCCGAACTCGCCAAGCGGGCCGCGCGGACCCCCCCAACCAGGGAAATTTTCTCCCTAAATCACCGATCAGAAGAAGCACGCCTCAACAAAAACGACGCGAACTAAGGAGATGATGGTCCGCCACGCCGAGAAAATCCGGATTGTTCCAGCCCGCCCCTGTCAGCAGTTAAGCGGGTGCGCGAGAGCCTTATCTCTGTGACACCGGCATCGGCATCATGCATGCATACCGCCACCCTGATTCATTGCACCACAGCGGAGGAACGGTACCCGTAACCGGGGAGCGACGCAGGAGCCCCAGTTTTGTTTTTTTTCCTCTTAGCAGCTGATCGGATCGGGGCCCGGGTTTGTGTAGCTGGTCGGGGTCGGCCAGTACGGCTGGAAGAGAATGCCCGGGTCGGTCGACGTGTAGGCTCCGGGGAACGACACGCCAGAGAAGGTCTTGCTGCCGCCGCCGGAGAGGGAGACTTGGGCGCAGCCGATGTAGAACTGAGCTCCGCCCTCGGTCGCGGCGCCGTGCAGGGCCAGGTGCTCAACGCGGACGAGGTACTCTCCGTTGGCGAGACAGGATGGTATCTTGGTCGAGAGAACCTGAGTGTCTGCGACACAAATCGTCATCAGCACCGAACTGATTCAGCCCTACAGCGTGATTCACAAACTCTCCACTAAATCTAAAATGTCTGTTTTCTTGAAACCATATGCTTTTCATCGTTCCCCGCCTCCGAAGATCGCACCCACCCGACAACAACATGACCCGAAAATTTTCAAATTTCAGGAGAACTGATTTAAAAAATTGGACACTCACTGTACGACGCCCACTCCAGGCCGCTGCTGGTGATCGTCGGGCGCTCGTGGTAGATCTTGAACCAGACGGCTCCACTGCCGTCCCAGGTTGCTGCCGTCTGGCCGGACGGAACCTTGGCCATGTAGAAGCTCGCGGGCCCGGGATGTCCCACGACGCTGTTTGCCGCGAACCCTATCGTCGAGCCCGCGGTGACCAGGATGGTGGTCACGGTACCCCTGTCCGCGGGATCGGCTTCGTAGCACCGGATCTGCGTCGACGAGACGCCGTCGGTGGGGCCGTTGGAGTAGAAGTTTAAAGTCTTGCGGACGTGCTGCCACTCGGGATAGGTCGTGCCGCCATACACTAGGCGACCGAATGTGTCTAAGTTGATCGATTGAGTTAGCATCATACGAGATTTGGCTGGTTTGATTCGAGACTTTGGTCTCTTGTCTAGTGATGTTGAAGGGCAGAAGACTAACAGTGGGCTTCAGCTGATGCAGCCGCAAGGACGGCAAGAGTCGCAGAGAACTTCATACTGGCTCAACCTGCACTAAGAATTGACGAAAACAATGATTGCAGTTGCAAACTGGTTGAGAAAGGTCTCTTATGTTGAAAGAAAAAACTTCACTTCATGCCTCCTTAAATAGCTTCATAACTACAACTCAACTAGGACGTGAGAAGACCAACCTACAACTCCGCGCAACTCCTCGCAACCTGGTCTTGTGCCTCCATCAAAAAGGAATGTGCCAATAACTTAATACCAAAGTCCATCTCCTCACCGAGCGCCGGCGAAAATATGGGGCGCATTCCACGAATCTCCGTCGCCAACCCCTTGCCGGCCCGGAGGCTGCGCTCCGAGGAGTAACGTTGACATCCTTGCTGTTGCTCATAAACATCCGCCAAGGCTAGCAGGCCTGCCTCCTATTAATTCCAGATTCGATAAGTATATATGAACACCCACACCTTCCGCACTTCGGGCGTGTATCGGCCCAACGGATGGACTCGCGGTCAGCTTGTCGCATTGCACGGTCTGGAGTCCCGATAAGTCAGTCGATGGCTCTCGTTGCTTCTCCCGGGCCTCCATACACAAAGAATAGTTTTCATAGTCTCATTCACTTCTTCTTCCATTTCTCTGTACTGATTATCGCTCACCCACTCCCAGTCCATTGTCTTGATTGTTCCATCGCCCTTGTCCACGGTTCCGTAGACTCGCCGACTTTGATAGGTCGCCATGCTGAGTAGCGTCTCATTTCTGATATCTTTCCCCTTTCCTCCATCCGTTACGGCCCTGTCGCTAAATGATGAACATGGCTGCGGAGGAGTTGACAGTGTGATTTGACTTTGACAGGGGAGATCGGGCGGAAGTTATTCAATTTCTGTGAGAATTGAAAGATAATTAAGACACATTGACTGAATGAATCTTCCATAGGTACATTGATCAACAAGCGTTCTGTCCTTGACTGAATGCAATTCCATCTTCCTCCATTCAACAACACCAAACTCACATGTTCAGCCAGTAACTCGCAGAGTCCTTTTCAATCCAAGTCAGGATCTGATTGAACAGGGTCTTCATCAACCAGGTTTCCCCACTGATCGCGGTTCCGATATTCCAAACGTGCCTCACCTCTACTGTTCAAGTGAAGCTCTCTTCCACCAGGCAACAGAACGATCACCGGGGGATCGTTGTCTTCCTCTAGGGTACCAGTGGATCCCAGAGCCGCGTATTTTCGCCGCAGCATGATAGACCTGTTGCGGCGTTCCTTGCTGAAGTCACTGAAAGCAACCTCTCTTTGAGTCATGGGAGGGGTTGGCTCCATGCCTAAGGACTGTAACATCGGGTTGCCGGGCCATCCCTCAGCGGGACTGTTGCTTCCCATCGCGTCCCAGGAGAAATTGACACCAGCCCGCTCGAGCAATCCCTTCATCTTCTCGAGGACGTGGTTCCTTAAGAAGTCCCAGTGCCGCTCTAGAGCGAAAAGAAGTTCAATCTGGAATCGGGAGCCGTACCGACAACGCTCCATGAGGGGATCCTGGCCGTGTAAGGATACCTCCTTCAATGCGGGGAACTCTCCGTCGGCGACGGCAGAGGCAAAGGTGAGCAGGCTGTGTGCCAGATTGTTATTGACATGGGTAAGCCGAAAGTACTTGAGGGTACGCGGAAGCATGCTGACTAGGCGAGTGCCGTCTGGATCAGGCAAGCTGGTGTCGATGCGACGCATCCCGAGTTGCTCCTCCGTAGCTACGTCACCTGGCCACACCTCGGGAATATAAGAGCGAGAGGTCCACATGTTGGGGACGCCGAGGATAGAGTCCTGAGCAAGCTGAACATGCTCGAGCCTTTCGAAGGAACGCAGGGTAGTAATGGTGTCGTGTCGAATGTTGTCGAGGCTTTCGGCCTCACCTTCAAAGGGCTTCCCGTGCCAACGGCTCTCCCAAAACTTCATCTCGAAGGGACCGAGCTCGAGATGTCTCAGGCTGTGGGCGCACATACGCGCCAGGCCAACAGCGAGATTTGCGGGGGAAATCTGGTCGTTTATCGTGGAACTGGGATAGTGGCCACGCTCAGCCATCAGCTGGAATCTGCGGAGCTCGCCGCGGCCGAGGGTGAAGCTCTCCAAGTTCTTGATGCCTGCGGTGAGAATCTCAATGTCGTCGAGCAACAAGGAGCAGTTTGTCAGGCGCAAAGTCTTGAGCTTGGAGATGACGTGGTCGGTGTCGTGGAGGAAATTTCCGCCTACACCTCCTATTCCGTGAATTTCGAGTGTGGTAAGATTTCTGCAGCGGTTGAAGATCATGTACGTGTCCCTGAGATCAAATTGGCTGATCTTGTCGTAGCAGTCGCCACGGTAAATGAGGCTGAGCGTCTTGATGGAATCGTACTTGGCGCGGCCGTACCGGTCCATGGTCCAGATAAAGCCACCATGCTTGATGAGGGGAAGCTCCATGTGCAGCTCGAGATGTTCCAATTTAGTGGCACGGTTGAGAACCTCAGGAAGCCAGTCGAATCCAACGGCCTCCCCTCTGGGAGTTTTCCAAATCTTGCCGACCTTGCCGCTTTCAATGTGCAGATTGGGGGTCAGGTTAGCTTCAAGGTGCTTGATGGAGGTGGCTAAGTCATCGATGCCGTTTGCAAGGCTCCGCTTGCCAGCCGCCTCCAGCGCGTCGGGGTCTGGAACGTGGTCGCCAGCCAGAGTTCTCAAAAGCCTGAACAGGGCCTTCTCATGCTTCACACCCTGCCAGGGACGATCTCGAATCTCGAGGTAGTCGTAATTGAAGCAGACGTGGTGAAAGAGGTGGGGTCGCGCAAGCTTATGGAAGCGGAAGCAGGTCTTTGAGAATGAGATGAGTGCGTTCTGGGTATCGCGTTCGGCCTGGAAACTTCCGCCATTTCGACCGTCACAGTGGCGACAAAGGACTTCCAAAATGGAGAGAATGAGCTCGTCTGGCATGTCGATAATCTGGGTCGCTCCTTCCATCGCGACTGTTTGGGGCGCCTCATCGCTAACGGATAGGTCTGCCATCTTGTCAACGTGGGAAGGCACGAGGAGACGAAAGGAAGTGGAGTTGTAGAAGGAGGGAAGAATCTTGCGTTTGGAAGTTGGGAGAGAAATTTTTGAGGGAGGCGGAGACCTGAGAAAGATTAGCCGTCGTGGAGGCAAACGATCCCTAGGAGATGTGGGCAGCCGATCGTCTAGCGTTTGGTGTCCAGGTGGGTGAAAGTAGGTCAAGGAGAAAGACTTTTCCTACAGCGATTAACCCAGGCCCAGAGAAACAAAAAGGAATCGGCAACTGATTGAGGTCTGAGGTGAAAAGAAATTGGCTAAGGTACCTTAGTCGAGGGCAGGGGTGAATGAGAGACTGGGAGTTGCCATCGGTGGGCCACGTGACACGCAATATTGACTGCGGATGGTTTGGGAAGGAACGACCAAACAAACCATCGAAGGCTCTTGCTTCTTGTCAAGTTCGCCGTTCGTTCTTTCCAAAGTTCACAAGTTTGGTCACCAAGTATCAGGGAAAGCAGGCTAGGGCACGGGGAACTCTCCGGTACTTCCCTGGCCGTTTCCCCATTTTCGCAGACGTTAGCTGATACAACTTCAATTACAGTTGAAAGCGGTCACATGCGCCAATGCCATAAGCATTAATGGAAACCTTTCTACTCGGGGAGCTGGACCGAGATCGATTGACGCGAGGCAACACAGCTTGGCCTGCTGCTGTCATATCATCGCGAAATTCCAGCGCCACAACTCGATTAATTATATTGGAGCAGACACTGTGCTAGCCGACAACGTAATGTCGAGACCTCAATCCTCACTTTCCCGGTCGGATTCAGAGCCGGGTCGAGACTAAGTTTCATCTATCTGTTTCCCAGGATCCTCTTCGTAAAACGTATCTTCAGCCCATCCGTAGGCTTTGTTCAGCCGCTGACCGAGCACAAGAGCCGAATATCCTTCGAATTTACCCTTGTAAGGCGGAGAAACCATAAGAAGCTTGCACCCGAACTTGGACGATTCAAACGCATGGTTCAATCCATCTGCCGTACGGATCACCCTGAATCCCAACTCCTTCATCGCCAAGTTGAACGCAGGCCAGTCGGCCGCTTCCCGCGGTTCGGATTTTCCGATAAAGCTTTTGAACGTCTCAACCATCCACTCGTATTCAACTTTGATGGTTGGTAGAGCAGGTACGGGCTCCCTAGCACTGGAGAGAATATCGAATTGAGACCGGCTTGATGATCGCGACTTGCCCCTCTCCTTGCGACTCTCGACCAGTTTCTCAAAAGGCTCTTGGGGCTCCACTGCGAGTGCTGTCCAGTCGGTCTCACCATTGGCTTTGGCGTGATCGTACTGCTTGTCGAGATACGCAAAGCTGTCCTGGATCAGGTCCTCGTACAAGAAACCCAGTCTTGAGCCCACTTTCTCGACAATGATTTCGTCTAGTCTCTCCAATGCGCCATCAATGAGACCATCGTCAAGAGCCTTCTTGGTGAGCACGGAACCAAGATCGCTCTTGAGCCGGTTGAGCTCGGCCTCGAGCTCCTGAGCCCGGGTGACGAAGAACTGAGCTTTCTTCCGCGAAGGAACCGGCCCCTTCTGTGCCAGTGACAGATTCACGGCCCCGCTCAACGACAGCAAGCCCATCGTCTCAAACGCATCTCGTGGGAGCGTCGCTCCATACTTGTCAAAGTCGGTCTTGAGGTAAAGCTTCGAGAGCTGTTCAATCCATCCATGCGCCTTCTGCGGGGTCGTTTCCGGCTGGCACAGTCGAAGAAGGATGTGAAGAGGGGGGTCGCTCGACTGAACGTCTTGCGGCTTGCCCTTCAGTTTGATATTGGGGTTTCCCACAGCATCGACCCCGTTCGACACACGCTTGAACAGCTTAGAGTCCCTGGTTAGCTGCCGCTTCAGCAGAGACTGGAGTCGAACGTAGTCAAGATGCGCAACATTCGATAGCTCCTGCAAAATGATCGATCGCCGCAGCTTGTCCGAGCCTGCGTCATCAAGTCGACTCAGCAGTTGATCCGCATAAGAGAAGATCGCGGCGGCTTTGATGGCACTTTGAGCAGCATCCAAGACGGCGCTGCTGGCATGCATGTCGGCTTTGAGAGGGAGGGCCCTTCCCTTCTCATCAGCGATAAGCTCCGGGCGGCTGGAGAACCAGGCAGCGACTTCCCGAGCAAGCATAGCCGGCCGAGAGGCGAGCGCATCAAGGTACGCCTCGTGAGCGATCTTGCGGTCGCGAATCAAGTCCTTGGGGTCCGGGAGAGATTCTTCTCTTATTTTCTTGGCCGCAGGTTGGGTCTGAGGAGCACCCCGAGTCCCCGGAACCTGGAGCATTTGAATGCCCTGCTCAAGTGCATCGACGGCCGCATCTGCAGTAGGCACCGCAGTGTTACTAGCCGGCTGACTGGAGGTCTTGGTGAGGAAAGTTCGGGTCAACCAATCGAGCCCAAGCGGCTCGACCTCCCGAGGTCTGTTCTCTCCAAGAAGCATATTCGCCATGTCGTTGAGCCTCTGTAGAAGGAACAATTGGCGGCACAAGACCATCTCCCCAATATCCCGGGGAAGCAGATTTCCCGTACTGGTGGCCCACTGAATTTCGGCCATCTTGGACGGTGGGATTCGCACCGCTTGTCCATAATCTTCGCCGTCAATGAACATGATGTAGGCGTCCTTGAAGTTTCCTTTGACGCGGAGTTCCTGCAGATGCATCCCGATCTTGATGAATTTACTGTCGTTGCCCTTTAATTGATCAATCAGGTCCGGTATGGCACGCATGGCCATCAGCTCGAGGAGGTGGTTGTCCTCAGGATCCGTCAGACTGCGGAGGTTCCAATCGGGCACAAGTGCAGATAGCGGACCGCCGTGGCTCGTGTCCTCGGGGTGTCGCGGCACATTCTGGCCCTCCTCAAGCTTGAATATGCACTGGCGTCGCTGGTCTTGGTTCAGTGAGCCCCAGTGCTTCTGGAGCCGGCGCTCGTGCATGTTCCATTTCTTCCGCAGTATCGCGTGTTCTTCTTGCACTTGGATATTGTTCGGGATCTGACCGAAACGCCGGTTCGCGGCATTGTATCGTCGAGAGTTGTAAGCATTCATAGTGGTGAAATGAAGCAGACGAAAAAGTGTGCAGGTCCTCTCAAACGCAAGGGAGCGAATTAGATAAAGAACAGAATGGGTAGATCCAAGGGAGAGAAAGGTTGCGTGGTTGCGAGCATACAGGCGAGGAAGCCCTTTCGAAAGCATCCTAGCTAATTGCGTTGCGTCAACAAATTGTGAAACCCTATTAGAGAACGAGTTGAGATTCCCCACCGCGTTCTTCTGGCCAATGGAATGTTATGGATGAGTTTGGCTGATAGTCGCCACAAGCAGCCACAGCACTACACTCAGCTAGCGTTTGTAGCAGAGAGATTCACCGTCCGTTTTTGGTTTCTTCGCATCTGCAAACGGACTGCAGTGCTCACCATCTGCATAGTGCAGAGACACGTATACCAGAGAGATACGAACGACTACAAAGCTCAGTTTTCTTGCTTACATCATCAACAAAAGATCTCGCAACACCTCATGAGCAGCAGATACCTAACCCGCGCACACGAGCTATGAGTGACGACTACAATACTCCCCTAAGATATAGCAACACATCGAAGTGTATTGATTCCCATGCTTCTGATCGACGGTGAAATTACGACCTGAGGGTAACGTGTGTTATCAGGTATAGATAGGTTCACAAGATCCTGTGTCACAGCCGAAGGTGAGCAACGATTGCCCCTCGCCATCAGATGGGGCTAAGAAGTGAGGCTTCAGCAATAACCAGAGGGTTTTTCGAGAGCCTAGTGACAAGAAATGTCCAAGAATGATTTTTTCGGAACTCGCAGGCGTTGCGATTATGAACTGACCCATGGAACGGAGGCAGGCTGAGTACAACACCTTATGAGGCACTATAGGCAAGGCAATTCCCAGGCATAGATTCTTTCAGTGTACGTCTCCATATCTATCCCAAGATAAATAAGATAGAATTCCCGCATTTGAAGACCACCTGCTTCACTATGCTATCCATCGACCGATTCACACCGTTCCTTTAGTTAACCTTATATCTTTGGCCTTACTCGCACATAACGAAATCTTGTTTCCCTTCTTTAGATTGGTTGCACTTCTCTCCCACCCCGGAAGCGTGGAACGTCTTATTGCCTCTGGTCTGGACATCTGCTACCTTTTCTTAAGTAGCCATGGTCTAACAGGACAAGACACCCGAATCCTCGTGAGCTCCCGCTTTTTCCTTTTCTTCTCTTAATTCGCTCCATGTACTAATTATTCGTTCCGGATCTCCAGGTATGCCCCCTCTACACGTCATGACGACGAGACCTCCAGCACCATCGCCCGTAGCGGGTCCCCTCCGAGGTCTATTTCCAAGACCACCAGAAAGCATAGAGTCGGATATAAGAAGGATAAGAAGGAAGGAAAGAAGACGAAGACTGGGGGTATTATTGATATGACGTCGGACTTGTCGTTTACTGGGTCGCAGTTTGATCCACACTGTTGATCCTAACACACTGGCTCATTCATGGCTCTTGGTGAGGTTGTCATGGGACAGAAGGCTGCGACATGAGTTGCTTGAACATCGGATCCAATCAACACCTTAGCTTATGGTGGGATTGGATGAACTTTGGAGTATAACAGAAATGCTATTTAACACTTTGCATCGAGAGAATTCGCCTCACCTTGTCTAGAGCGATTGATAAAACTTTCAGACCATATTGCCAGAATCGCCTCCTTAACAGATTAATCCCGGCTGCAGCACTCGCCATTAGGTATTCCCCAAACGCAAAAGTCTAGAGGTAATATTGGCGAGGTCTATTCCAGTTAATTCACGAGGGCAAGTTGTTTCCGCCTCGAACCAGATCATCGCCTCAAACTGTACAGACAATGCTCCCTATGCTCTCATATCCCTCGATTACAACACAGACATGTGAAGATCAAGTCACGTTGACCTGTCATCACCAAGTATTTGGGAGAAGAAACCCGTTTGGTAGATGAGACGGGTGTAGACCCCAAAGAAAATGGTTATCCAGTCCAGCATGTCGAAGATGATTTACACCGTGGGAACTTTGACTAAGTCCCATCGCCAAGACGCATCCCACATGATCATCAGATCGCCAAGATTCAACGAGAGTAATGGATACAACTCTCCCCTCCCCGCCGAGATGGCAGCATCCGATCTCTCAAACCCTCGATCTGCACCGTCTTGGCCCACTGTCAATCTTGCAGTCAATTGATTAGCCTCCCATCCCGACGGGATCATCACATCACCCAAGCATTGGTCACTGCGACAACGGATCTGATGCATCAAGTTTATTATTCCTATCAAGCACATCCCCAGCCAAATCTCAGCAAATGGGAAACCCCGGTGACCAAGACAGGTCCCCAAAGGGTATGAAGTCTCAAAACATTCATTTCCATCATCAAAAAGAAAAAGGCCAGCGCGCCCACACATCCTTCAGTGAGAGGGGATCCCAACTCCTTCATATGCAAATTGAAAAATAGAGCGAGCTGATAACCTTTGGGAGACTGCCCGCGAGGCATTCTGCGTACCACACGGAACGTCTTCTCGTCGCGTACCTCAACCCCGCGGCAGTCCCCGATCTATACCTCTTGACGAGGGACCCAGACGAGACGCTTAGGCGCCGTTACCGTTGTAGGCGATCAGGTTGGGGGAGCTGTTGAGGGTGCCGGTGATCTTGTTGGGGGTGGCCAGCGCCTTGATGCGGGCGGCGATCGAGGCGGGGGTGGACAGGCCCTCGACGGACTGGAGGTAGTTGACGAGGCCGGCGACGTGGGGGGAGGCCATGGAGGTGCCGGAGATAGTGTTAGTGGCGGTGGTGGAGCCGATCCAGGTGGAGAGGATGGAAGAGCCGGGGGCGAAGACGTCGAGGGAAGTGCCGTAGTTAGAGTACGAGGCGATGGCCCAGGTGCTGGTGATGGCACCGACGGTGATGGCGTTGGCAGCGTTGGCAGGGGAGACGTTGGCAGCGTTCTGGGCTTCGTTACCGGCGGCGACCACGGTGGTGACACCGGCGTTGTAGGCGGAGTTGATGGCGGTGGTCCAGGCGGTGGAAGAGGGACCGCCAAGGGACATGTTGATAACAGACTTGCCGGCGCGGCCGTTGCTAGTGATGTCGTTCACAGCCCAGTTGTAACCGGCGAGAATGACGGAGGTGGAGGCAGAGTTGCCGACGAAGACCTTGACGGAGACCAGGGTGGTGAGCTTGGCGACACCGTAGGTGGTGGAGCCGATGGTTCCGGCAACGTGAGTGCCGTGGCCGAGGGTGTCGGTGTGGGCACCGCCGGCGGCGTTGTAGCCGAGAGTAGCACGGCCACCGAAGTTGGTGTGGGCAGTGTTGATGCCGGAGTCGACGACGTAGGCGTAGGTGCCAGTGCCGGCGGCGTTGTCGTAGACGTAGGTGGTAGAGCCGGAGGTCTTGTGGGAAATAGTACCCAGGCCCCAAGGAGCACCGGTCTGGCTCACGATGGCAAAGAGAGTCCAGATCTGGTCACGCTCAACGGCGACGACCTAGTGGGTGTTAGCATGGGATTCAAGCTTGTTTGGTTGCATTCAAGCTTACATCAGGGTTCTTCTTGATCTCCTCAATGGTGGCATCGTCGAACTTTCCAGAGTAGCCGTGGAACTTGTTGAAGGAGTAGTTGCGCTCGATACCAGCGAAGGCACGCTTGTCGAGGTTGCGGCTCTGGAGCTGGCTGACCCAGTCCAAGTGGCCGTCGAGGTCGCGGGCAGAGACGCCCTCCTTGAGGGTGACGATCCAGCCGTTGGGAACAGTCTGGACAGAGAACTCAGAGGGCTTCTCGACGGGAGCAGCGAAGCCGCAGGCCGCAGCCGCGAGGATAGCAAAGCGCTTGAAGCCGACCATGATGAAAGATTGACCGAGATGCTGGGATTGGAGTTGGGAATCTCAGAGAAGAGGGGAGCGTGGTGAGGAAAAGAAGATCACTTCATCATGGGCTTTTCGTCAATTTATATACTACTAGATCCCCGCGATGGAGCTGCTCGATCTCGAGGCCTTCCACATCTAAATGGCATGCAAGGCCTTCGGTGATCCAGGAGGTCGATGGTGTGGCACCGCCGTGTATGCGGCCAAGCCGTGAGGCTTCCTTCGAGAAGCTGTACGTACCAAGCTGCACCCCCGGTCGACGTCCAGCCACTTCCACAGGGTCCAAGCCATGGCGAACACCGTTCAACTTGGAATATGCAGCCGAAGACGCCATGTTGGTTGCAGCGAGCGAGACAAATCGATAAGACGATGCAAGAAGGGGAAGGAGAGTACAAATGGCGCCATGTGGCGACATGAATCGGCCATCCCAGAAAGCTTGTGCGACGACATCAAAATGAGGAAGTTGATTGACAATGATGTTGTTGATGCAGCGGTCGGCGGGGAGGAGGTTATGTCGGTCGGACTTGGCATTGCAACAGAGCTATCAAATGG